ATAGAAATGGTCTGTAGTATCAAAACTAAATATAAAGGCTGCTTGTGAAACATAACAATATAGTGTTCTGACAAAAAGCTTGAATTTCAAGTCATTAGGAAATGTGATATGGTGGCTGTAAGCATCTAATATAGGAGAAAAGGTAATCAGATGTTTTTTAATGTTAAAGGGGTTAGTGTGCATCTCACCTGAAAAGTCTAGCATATTTCATGTAGTCTGCGTCCTCGTCGTATTGCTTCTGCGAACCAATCCCAACCCAGAAGAAGTTCTCTGGCTCCTCCCCCTCGTTAATCACCTAGGAAACGGACACAATAGCAGGAGCTTAGACTTTGATCACTGGTAAAGCTACTGGTGGAACTCTTCTCGTTCTCCACCCCTCTCTACTCTCCTTCTCCCTCAGCCAGCCTCTACCTCCTCCCTAGCCCCTCTACTTCCTCCTGCCTCCCTACGTCCTCCACCCCTTCTCTACCACCCCTCTACTTCCTCCCCCCTCCACCCCTCCTCTAGCCCAACCCACCCGACACTTCCTCCCTCCCCTCCGTCCTTCAACCCTCCTCTAGCACGCATGCACGCACGCACGCACACGCACACGCACACACACACACACACCTCCTTCACTCTCTACCCCTCTCTTCCCCCTCTACCTCATCTAGCAGTCTCTACTCCACCCCCCTCCCACACCTCTACTTCCTCCCCCCTTTACCATTTCCTCCTCAATCTCTACCACTTCCCTACCTTCCCCCTCTCTCTCTTTTTAATGTCTACTACTGTCCTGTACTTTCTGCTGGGACACCTGAACTCTCAGTCTGGGCTGAATAAAGTACATTTCATCTTGCCTGTTTGCTGTAGGTGTCGTCAAACATGCTGTTCATGATGTCCTCGGCCAGCTTGGCCTCGTCAGGGTCTGCGGCCCGGCCCACCCAGGTATACACAATGCCCTGGTTGTCCGTGCTCTCAAACGGTACCTGGGAACCACACACTTGCGTTTTTACAAAGGAAGAGATTTCTTTTTAAAAACACAATACACTTTTTTAGACTGGTGTTTGGTAAGCACTGTTTGTTTCTGTTGTCTTTTTTACTATTGTAGTTTTTTCTTATAAGTTGTGAAAGATGCTATATAAATAACCATACTTAGTTGCTATGTGTAGTCACTACTATTAATGCAGCTTGGTATATCTATATATTCATATCTTAGTGATAGTTGTGATGCTGTTGTCATGGGTTAACATGGCACAACCCCAACCCTAACCTATGCTATGAATGGATGCTCATAGTATTGTACGGTGAGGGTTAATCTTTACCTTGAGGATGAAGCAGAACTCTGAGTTGAGGTTGCTGGAGTCCGTTACAATCTGGATGGTCCTGAAAGAGACGAGCGTTGGAAAACAAAACCCCTCGTTAGTTAGCGAGATGCTGGAGACTGGATTAGTTACGAGTTACTCACCAGTGAGAATCTGCTAGCTAGTTATTCACAGAGATGTTTGTGAGACTCAACTAGTTGATCATTAACACGATCATTAAGATTTTGAGTCTTTTCTAGTTTGTCAAGGAGATGTTTAAGATTCGACTGGCTAGTTAGTCACCAAGGTGCGACTACTCTTTATTTATCGAGATGTTTTGAGATGGGTGAGAATTGAGATGAAAGGGTGAGAGGGGCCACCTGGTGCAGAGGGCGCTGCCGTTGGTGCGGATGTGGTAGAGCGAGGGCTGGGCAGCGTCCATCTTCTGCTTCCTCTTGCCCTTGTGGATGATGAACTTCCTCTTGAAGTGAGACAGGAACTTCAGGTTCTCCTGCTGTTGGGTCATGCGTACCACCTGCAGAAAGAAAGGAAGGAGAGAAGAAAAGGAAGGAAGGAAGGAAGGAAGGAAGGAAGGAAGGAAGGAAGGAAGGAAGGAAGGAAGGCAAAGCAAACTCTTAGACATGGCTGGCAAAATTCCCCTGGTTTTAAAAAAAAGGAGTGAACCTTGGTTGGTTACTTGTTTCAATAAAAAGTTTGATGTACTATTTTTTCAGGTATGGGTTACAGTTTTCATCATAATCTGTAGCTATGAAACTACAAAAACTCTTAATAAGCAGATACAAAAATACTACAACACAATAAATACATCAATATACAGCGTTTTCTCGTATTTTTTCTGTCACACACACTCTTTGCTCTCCTTCCTACCTCCAGCTTGCCGGGAAAAAGGCTCTCAAACTTCTTCTGCAGAGAGAAGGTGAAGGTGAGCCAGCCCATGTTGGAAGCCTGCCGGCCCTGCCAGAAGTACACCACACACTGGAAGTCTTCCTCCGTCTGCCTGTCTTCCTCGTCCTCCCCCCTTGCACCTCCTCCTCCTCCACCCCCACCGCCCTCCCCGCCCTCTTTCTTCTCCTTATCGTCGTCCTCATACTCCACCGGCACCCAGTACCTATGAGGAAGAGGAGGGTGATGATGATGAAGATCGGACAAGGCAAATGCGTTAAACTAACTGTGGTCCTGTATAGCTCCACTGGTAGAGCACAGCTTTAACAGTCAGGGTTAGGGGTGCAATTCCTGCTGGGCACCCCCATACCCATGCCAAGAATGTACGTACGCAAGAAATTGCATGTATTATCATTATAATTATTAACTGCAATAAAGACGAGATTATGGACATTGAAGTGCAAATCAGTAAGAAGACTTAATCAAAAGACCACAAGCTCTCTTGAGGGTCAACTCCTCTGAAGAGGCAAAGCTAGCACATGCTATCCCTGGAAGCTATTCATCAGTTGGTGAACAAATCATCATAAATAGTACATGGAGGAAAAGGTACATGCAATTTTTTATCCTGGAGTTGATTAGATTAATAAATGAAAGGCCGAAATAGGTGATGTTTTTAGCTATTTTTTTATCCTGTATTTTATCACTATTTTATCATATTGCCCCCAGGGCCAGATTGTTGCAATATATTTGGTTTATTGCAACAGCTGCATCTTATAAAATGAGCATTAAGTCATTACCGTTTTTGCTGTTTACACACACCTGCAGAGGAAAACGTAGCAGTCTTGTGTGTTGAAGTGTCCAAACTCCTCCTCTGGCAGACGGGCAAACTTCTTGCCCTCCAACACGAATCCCTCCATCCCGTCCAGGTCCTCGTTCCACTCCTCCATCATCTGCTCCGCCTGCAGCAAGGAGGGAAGGTTACTGCCATGGCAGTAACTCCCTCTCATGATATCCAATTACCCAGTAATGCATGTTGATGACAACAAGATACACAGCTTTCAGACAGCCTGTGTGTGTTACCTCTGTGAGGGGCATGGGGGGTTGTCTGGGGAGGAAGAGGGCGGTGAGATCAGCTTTCATCTGGTCTTTCTGGTCTGCATCCTTCTTCACCTGTGTGTGTGTGTGTGTGTGTGTGAGAGAGAGAGGACAAAAGGAGGCAGATGAGCAACACATATCTTCCATCTTTTGTAAAAGGACGTGAAGTTGCATGTGAGTGAGTGGGTGCAACATTCACCTTGCCCTGCAGGTTGTCCTTCTGCTGGATGGTCTCGGCTGCTCTGGTGTAGTCCACCTTCAGCACATCATCCCAGTTCTTAAACTTAGACTTGAACACCTGGGGAGGGGGGGGGGGGGGGAAGACAGACAGACAGAAAGAAAGAATAATATATTTTGTACAGCAAATGTCTAAATACTCAAAACTCTTAGAAACAGATAAAAGTCAACACAACATAAACAATAGAACCAATAGAAAACATATAGGAATGTAAAACCTAATGGTGGTGATGACATCCCATCAGAACAATGAAGCCTCCACATGTCACATACTGCCACCCCCGATCTCCACGTACCTGGCACTCGGTGCCCTCCAGGTTGCGGGTGACGCAGGCGTGTTTAGGCCGGTGCAGCATAGAGCAGATCTCCTGGCCCAGCTTGAGGGCCGCCGCCCGGACCAGCCGGGGGGACTTCCTCCCGATCCAGATGAACACGTCCGACCAGCAGTCCAGGATATACACACCCTTAGTGTCCAGCAGGGACTGCAACTGTAGGGGGGGGGGGGGGGGGGGGGGGGGGGGGGTTAGCGAGCGAGAGAGAGAGCGAGATAGAGAAATAGTTAAAGGTAAAGGCAGAAGGTAGAGAAGCATACAAAGATAGTGTGTGTTTGTGGGGGGGGGGGGGGGGGGGGGGGGACAAGTGAGAAAAGAGATAAGGGTTTAGAAGAAAACTCATTTCAATGTATGAATGAATGATGATTCCTGATGTTGTAGCCTCAGAAGAACCTACCAGTCTGAGCTCAGGCAGAATGTCCAGTTTGACCTTGCTGTCCTTGTGCTCCACAGACAGCTTGTAGTTAATCTGAGGCAACTCCAGGTAGCCCAAGCCTAGGCCCACCTACACACACACACACACACACACACACACACACACACACACACACACACACACACACACACACACACACACACACACACACACACACACACACACACACACACACACACACACACACAAAATCAGAGACACTGAATCTGATGGAAAAAGCTCTTTACACGGAGCCCTTTTGTCTCGGTCTCCCTTGTGTCTATACTACTTGTCTCAAGACTCTAATCAAAGACAAGTAGCACAGGGCACACATGATGTACCACTTCATAATATGAGGATATTTGATATGCATGAAATGCAGACCGACCACTAGGATGAAATGTCAATATGGGACAGTGCGAGCGGGTATCCCAGTTTAAATTAATAGATAATATAACAGGAGATAAACAATGAGGTGAGAGGTGGTTATACCTTGTAGAGTTTGGGTCTGATGGGGGAGAAGTCGTCTGGGACGTGCTTCTTGATCTCCTCCGGCTGGCCCCCCAGGGCCTCCCAGAAGCCTGGGGGTTCCTGGCTCTGACCCAAAGTGGTGATCTCTGCCTTGCCCTTACGCTCATTCTTGTTGATCTTCTCCGCAAACAGCCTGGATGGACAGACGGACGGACGGATGGACACACACACACACACACACACACGTTATTCATTTGTTCTGCCTTTGCCACGTCTTAGTGGTTAGAGTGTTTGACTCCCAGTTGAAAGGTCCTGGGTTAGATCCCCATTGTCCACAGGCATCCTTGAGCAAAATGCCCTAACTGCCTATCTGCTCCAAAATGACGTGATGTTTTTGAATTCCCTGTAAATCTCTTTGAATAAAAGTCAATACCCAGTCCCAACCATAAAGATGCACTAAACAAAACTGCCACCCACACACACCCCCACACATGCTAAAGTGTGTGTTGGTGTGTATACATGCACGTTTTCTTTTTTTTGACACTTTATTTATAGATTTTCAGTTTACATAACAAAAGCAAACATTGGCAGCATAGAACCCCCCCCCCCCCCCCACCCCAAGGCCTCAGTGAAAAAGAAAAAAAAGTATCATCAAATAAATACCTATAATATGGTTGCAAACAATTCCTGACATGTACATGGTTTAGCAGTGTTTAGAATAGGAACATTGCATAACATCATGTGATCCAACTGGCTCATGTGTAGGCAAGTGCATAAGAGAAAATGATAAGTGAAGGGTATGCTTTCAACAATTTCTCGAAAGGGGACCCGGGTGTTAATATATCTATCCCGGGAGGCAGGTGTTTTTACCTTGCTTTGGTGGTCCCGCTGAGTGTGGCGTTGCCCCCCCTCCACACGAAGATATCCAGGCCTGTGTCCAACAGAAAGACAAACCTAACACAGAGAGAGGGAAGGAGACGGTGAGGGCGTCACCATGGCAATGCAGTTTTTATGTAAATGACACGCGTTGCAGAGTATATGCGACACACTCGGTAATAGATATTTGAGGGACAGTGAAATATTTGACATTGTGTCTGTGATGTTTGGTATACGTGTGTATTAGGGATGTCCATGATTAGTCGACTACTGTTGCTGCACTTGCTTGTCGGCACCAGAAATACTAGTCGGTTAAACACCCATTTCTGCCGAGATATGAATCACGGAAGCCCTCTACACATTGAATTATACCATGCTTTTTATAATAGAATTAACTAATGTTAAACAACATGTAGTTTCCCAAATATGTAAGTTATAATTGATGTAATTAGGCTATTCAATTTAATCCGGTTCACAATTCTCCACAGCGCTCTTCACCCCAGTTCAGTAACCCCGGTCAGGTGCGCTGCCATTTGGTTGGTCTTTTCATGACTTAATTTAAATACCTTGTTTAAATTAGATAGGCCTATAGCACATTAACCATGGACATATGAACGAGCTTGTGCTCCTCCTGAAGGATTAAACTGTGAAGCTGGCTCACACTGGCTCGCGGTGCTCAGCTTGCCCTGTTGTAGTGGCGCCAGAGGTGTGTCGTTGAAATGTCAATGATTTCAGTCTGTTTCACTGTAAAGAACCCATGATCCACCAGATTATATTTACTTATGTCTTAACTTTCTTTACTGTAGAGAACGACGGCTCACTTGCCCTCAGTAAGCAGTAAGCAGATCGATGAAGAACAGCATTCATTGTTATCACGTCTTGACAATGATTTATATTGGATAATGATTTAGATTTACATTTCCAAAGCTAGACATCTCATTACTTTTTTGTCCCCCATCGATACAATCCAGCTGGTGTGTGGAACACATTCACTATGGAGAGCCGACTGCAATGATGTGTGTCGCAAAATGCTTTTTAGCCTAATTTAAAATTGGATTTTGTTATTAAGTATTTCAAATGGCTCTTAAAATACACACAATACATTTTCAGACCATGTTTAGCCTCTTAGATTGTAATGTGCTCAGTTTTGATTAGTGGTGTAACAGAAATGTGCTGATCCGTACGGACTGCCCCCCACGGTTCAGCACGCATGTGAACCCTGATTAATTGCAAAGTTTAACCACCATAGAGTGAAATAGTTTTACTGCTTGTTTTTTTAAAGTAATAATTCCCTAAATCTCGATGCAGTGTTGCAGTGAGAAGATACATATGTGAATGTTGTCTTTAGGTATTAAATGGAAGGCAAAGTTATATTAGTCTCCCTTTTTTTTGCTGATCCAAAAAATGATCTGATTTGTGACTCAAAACCGTGATCCCCTCCGAACCGAGTTTTGTGATCCATTCCACCCCTAGTTTTGATAGACATTTAGGCATTAAACATCCGGTTAACCATCAGGGAAATTATTCGTAAGGAACACCCCTAATTAAGACTGGATCAAAAAAAGGGACCAGCCTTTATAATTGAGACCAGCTTTGAGCCTAATTTTAATTATACAGTAAATGGGCCTATGTTTGTAGATTACATGTGACTAGTTGAAACGACTCCCAATTGGTCTTTACTAGTCGCCAAAGCGGAAAATGCACATCCCTAGTGTGTATGTTACAAAAGATGTGTAGATTGTTGAAATGAGAGTGTGTGTGTGTGTGTGTGTGTGTTTGTGTGTGTCTCACCGTGGGTCAAGAGAGGAACCTTTTAGTGGCACAGACTCCAGACGGATATTCCTCTTGCCATAAACCCTGTATAACCTGTTAATAACATAATGATAGTAACACACAGTGAGGTACATGCCAAGCTCAAAGTATCACAGTGGACATCAATAGCACAAATTTGAGCCAATAACCAACATAGTTTTGCTACTGAATACGTATCACTATAGACTATTGAACCTGATTTGCATGCGTTAAACAAATTACAAAAACATCAACCAGCGCCTTGCTAAAGGGCACTTCAGCATTGCACTTTCCAATACATATAGATTCCAATAGAATCCAAAAACAACTGTAATATACACTCACCGGCCACTTTATTAGGTACACCTGTCCAACTGCTCATTAACGCAAATTTCTAATCAGCCAATCACATGGCAGCAACTCAATGCATTTAGGCATGTAGACATGGTCAGGACGATCTGCTGCAGTTCAAACCGAGCATCAGAATGGGGAAGAAAGGTGATTTAAGTGACTTTGAACGTGGCATGGTTGGTGGTGCCAGACGGGCTGGTCTGAGTATTTCAGAGACTGCTGATCTACTGGGATTTTCACGCACAACCATCTCTAGGGTTTACAGAGAATGGTCCGAAAAAGAGAAAATATCCAGTGAGCGGCAGTTCTGTGGGCGCAAATGCCTTGTTGATGCTAGAGGTCAGAGGAGAATGGCCAGACTGGTTCGAGCTGATAGAAAGGCAACTGTAACTCAAATAACCACTCGTTACAACAGAGGTATGCAGAAGAGCATCTCTGAACGCACAACACGTCGAACCTTGAGGCGGATGGGCTACAGCAGCAGAAGACCACACCGGGTGGCACTCCTGTCAGCTAAGAACAGGAAACTGAGGCTACAATTCGCACAGGCTCACCAAAATTGGACAATCGAAGATTGGAAAAACGTTGCCTGGTCTGATGAGTCTCGATTTCTGCTGCGACATTCGGATGGTAGGGTCAGAATTTGGCGTCAACAACATGAAAGCATGGATCCATCCTGCCTTGTATCAACGGTTCAGGCTGGTGGTGGTGGTGTAATGGTGTGGGGGATATTTTCCTGGCACACTTTGGGCTTATTAGTACCAATTGAGCATCGTGTCAAAGCCACAGACTACCTGAGTATTGTTGCTGACCATGTCCATCCCTTTATGACCACAGTGTACCCATCTTCTGATGGCTACTTCCAGCAGGATAACGCGCCATGTCATAAAGCGCGAATCATCTCAGACTGGTTTCTTGAACATGACAATGAGTTCACTGTACTCAAATGGCCTCCACAGTCACCAGATCTCAATCCAATAGAGCACCTTTGGGATGTGGTGGAACGGGAGATTCGCATCATGGATGTGCAGCCGACAAATCTGCAGCAACTGCGTGATGCTATCATGTCAATATGGACCAAACTCTCTGAGGAATGTTTCCAGTACCTTGTTGAATCTGTGCCACAAAGGATTAAGGCAGTTCTGAAGGCAAAAGGGGGTCCAACCCGGTACTAGCAAGGTGTACCTAATAAAGTGGCCGGTGAGTGTAAGTCCCCATGTATCGACTTACTTGACAGGATAGTGCGTGTCCTCCACTGTATAGAAGCCACTGGCCGTTCCTCCCTCAATGTAGGAGATCTCATTATCAAACACCTACACACACACACACACACACACACACACACACACACACACACACACACACACACACACACACACACTTCCAATTACATTGATACCCATTTTGATATCCATTATATTGATATTTGACAATGATGATGCTCTCAGATAGCCTCACCAGACCATCCTGATCTTGCAATCAGTCTGGACCAGTCTGGCCTCAATCCCCTTGAAACTAGCTTTCAAAAGCCACAAAATGGATGGGCCAATGGATGGTTTCAACAGAATCGACACCAAACTGATCTTCAGCCAGAAACTGAAATGTAAACTTGATGAGGACAGGATGGTCCCCCCGTATCAGACCCATATCCAATACCAACATCCCTATTAACGTATACGCAACTCATCCCTGAAAGGATGCAAGGACGGAGCTTAAGTCTCCATTTCCAAGTCTGTATACGTTTGTATGTGTGTGTGTGTGCTTCTACTGCACGCACAGCGCTGAACTCCTCGCTCTCGTCGCCCATCTCCTCCCGGATGGTCCGGCACTCAGCGCCCAGAAAGTTGCGCAGGTTGACGGCGTGGATGGCGGAGCCGGCCTTCTTGTCCAGCGTGGCATCCTGGCCGATCCAGTAGTAGATGTGCCAATTCAGGGCGCCGTTGTCATCCAGGAACGTCTGCACCACGAGACAGAGGTCAGAAGAACATACTCATCCCTGTCCCCATGGAGGTAGAGGTTACTAGTGTAACGGTTAGCGGTAGTAGCAGCTGTAGCACTAGCATAAGTATTAATAACAGCATAGTAGTAACATTAGCAATATTATTAGTAATGGGATTAGCAGCATGGCCATTAGGAGCCCTTAGCATTCACAGTCAAAAGAGTAGAAATAGCATTAGCGAAGTGGTGTCAATAACAATGGCTTTCACACCAGAAGCAGCAGCATTGTTACTAGCTCTTAGCATTTGTAGCAATAAGTATGGTCATAGCAATGTCAATAGTAGTTGTATTAGCAGTGGGATTAGCAACAGGGTGCCATTGTCAT